CTTGCGTTTTCTCGGCTGTTAAGCTTTTCCTACGCGGTCTGCTGAAAAACATATGTATGAACGGGGTTCAACTGTATACAGTAGGCTGTTTAAATGGAACCTGAAGGGACTGGGAAAATATGTTCAATTTAATAGGAGTTTCATTTACTACTGAACGATGAACAGGGCAGCAGAATACAAGTACGAAATCAAATGTGTCAGAGGCAGTTGTTCCATTTAAAGGACCCTTGACAGCGAAAGTATTGCTCGCAAGTTTTTTATAATAATTTGTACTTTAGCATCTGGTAGTCCCGAAACTATATCCTTAATGCTCTAATGCATGTATAATTAATGTCAGTGTCATTAACTCAGAACGATGTTGCGTCAGTTCAAAACACCCGCATAAGTACCATAGGAAACTAGCGCCCTACAGCGGAGGAGCAGCGCCCGATACTACAGCAGACTCCTTTTAAATGAAACCTGAAGGGACCAGGAAAATGTATTTCCTTTGAGAGGAGTTTCGTTTACTGAGAGATAAACAGGGGTATAATATTCAAGTACGAAACCAAACATATTAGTGGCAGTTGTTCCATATAAGCAGCAATTTCATTTAAGAGAGTTTCGTACGAGTCTACTGTACGTGTGCTGAAGCTTTGGTGACACTTAAACACGTTTTCAAATATGGGGACCCGCATGCGGTGAAGAATGAAACGATGTAGATGCTTTGAACGTGACCCCCTCAGAGAAAGCACCATTGCGAAAATTCGCCGACTGTTGCTAAGACCGCCTCGCTTATGCACATTACTCTGATTGTCGAATCACACCCGGAATTTCACACTGAACCCCAATCATTCGATTTCACGGGCGCGTACCCGATTTTAAGACATTGCAATCGAATCTCAAACCACCATTCGAATGCTACACTAAGGGGAGACGCTACTCGAAAACACTTTTTTTTTAGTTTTTAAGTTAGGGTTTCCAAAATTTAGCCACACAGATATTTTTTCTTGTAGATTCCAACCAAAACTGTTATCAGATTTTGTGCGGCCTCATTACTTTTAAAGTTATTATACATGCAATAGCAAAACAAAGGTATTTTTACTCTCGCTTTTTCGACATCAGAACTTTTGTGTAGATGTTTGTGTAATAGCTTATTATGCTTGTCATGAACTACTGTGTGCATTTAAGAGGTTAAAATTATGAGAAAAAAAAAGCTGTTACTACAAAAAATGAACACATCTGCCAAACTTCTTTTTTTCAGGGTTTCTTGTATCATTTCTTGGCATGTTTTTATTGATAATGGCTAATATATCATAAATCAGAATAGGTAACGGCACTCTACACACCTTAAAGAATGTGTGTGCCAAGTTTCATCGCAATAGGACTATTTTAAGGGGATGAAACTATATGAGTGAAATGTGACCGTGGCCAAAAATTTCAGAATGCGAGAAACACGTTTGAAAGTTTGAAACATGTTTACTAATTAGGGTGCACTTGCAAACACTCAAAAGTGTGTTCAATGCACAGGCAGTATGTCCAGGAGCTGGCCACAGTGACTAGAATTCACCTGCGCTGTATGCAACTCCTTCGGGGTCGTTCCGAGCGGAGTGCTGTAGGCGAGCTCTCGTGGCCGATGCGCGGCGGTGAGCCCTCGCCTCAGCAGTGTGTTGGGCATTCATCTTCTGAATGGGCCTCTTGTCGCTGTAGTCCCCCAGGGTGGTCAAGCTTGCTGGTGGTAGAACACCAAGCTCCTCCAGGACCACCTCGAGCTTGCATGGCCCCGGTTATACCAGAGCACAGCAATGGCTGTGGCAGTCTCCACAGCACTTCGGGAAGCAAACTTTGTTTTTGGGCACAGCAGCCACACCTTGCTGTTGAGAGACTCAGCAGCGTTCTGAGTTTTCCCTCGAAGGCATCGGGCCAGCAGCTTCTCGTCAGAAGTACACCTTGGCATCACAAACTCCGTTATATGCTTTGCTGTCGCCATCACTAAGAAATGTTGTGAAGCAAAAGTGGAGTCTCATACAGCAAAGTGCGCTCCCATATCCGTAGTGCTGTTTCAGCTTCCATGCCATGAGCGGAGCTATCGGTGTTCTTCTCACAGGCAGGTCTGTGATATGCCTGCCAGATTTCCTCTTCAGAGCCCATGTCGTTGTGTAGACTGCAAGCGTGGCAGTAATTCGACAGGACTTCGAAATCTAAGCGCAGGCCGGTGTCCAGGGAGATAGCAGCGCCGACTCCGTTGTGGCTTTTATGGCCCCGTTTCTGCCAAGTTCCGTCATACATTACGGCCACGTCACTACCATCAACCACCTGCTTCGTTACGGCTCTTGCCTGGTTCAAATTTTCGGTTACGGCCCTCATAGCAGCATCGTGAACCTTCTTGCTGATTGCCTGGAAGGTTTTGTGGTGCATGGGCTTTGCTAGTCCAACAATCGCACAAAACCGCGAAAGCTGGTCATGTCCGATGCCTATGGCACGCGAGGCTACAACAGCTTTCACATAAGCCGCGAAGCTATCGCGCAAGCTGCCGTTGACGTAGTGCCCCACCTCCGCGCAGTCGTCAGATGCTGCGGCGGCTTCGCTGGAGGCAACACGCCTCGACGTAAGTGTCGAAGAGAGAACACCAGACGCGCACTCAGTGTTCTCACACCACAACTCAAGACAGGACGACAGTCCTTTGCGCCGTTCTGCCACCTCGCGAACAAGTTTGTGTTCACGGCAAGACGGGCACTCCTCTCCGCCCACAAGTGCTGTCATCGCATCGATGTCGCACAGCACTGCTGATGATACGCCATCACGCTCATGCCTTTGGTTCTTCTCAAAAAACTCCAGTTTTTTTTGTCAGGCGCTGACGAAGTTTGCGGCAGCGTCGAGACCGCCGGCGAAGTCACTGTCGCGATCGTTGCCGACGCTGAGGTTAGGCCTAGACCTCTCCGGGCCGTTTGCCTTTGCCGCAGTCTGACGACGCACTTTACGAGGTTTTCCCAGATACTTGTTTATCGTCCGGTACTTTTTCACTTTGTACACCTGCTTTCTAGCAGGGTTCATCGCGTAACTAATTGAATAAATTCTTGCGAAGTTCAGCTTGCTGCAGCGCGGGGCTGAAGGGACAAGCGAGCGCTGCGCTAGCCAATGGCCCGCTCGCTACCGCACCACGTGTTGCGCCGCGCGATTCAAACGGCACGCAGGGGCATTCAAAAAATTCTTTTTTTATGGAATTTTTTTTTCCGGACAAGACTTTCCGAGCCTGTCTTCGAGAGAGCATGGGCAACTCTACCCGCCTCAGTGATTACAAATGGCACACTGTGCTGCTGCCTCGAGATACGGGAGCCGGGAAAACGTCGATTTCGGCAGATTTCAGCGATTTTCTAGGTCTCCGGGGCTTACTTGAGCGCATTTTTCAGTAACTTCTGACACGAATTACCGATTGAAGTTTATTTCTGGTAAACATGAATGTTTACAAGAATCTAATAGGACTGAAAACAAAAAAGTGAAAATTTCCGGGAAAAAAACGAGATTTTTCAACCTGCGTCTCCCCTTTAAGCAGCAATTTCATTTAAGAGAGTTTCGTACGAGTCTACTGTACGTGTGCTGAAGCTTTGGTGACACTTAAACACGCTGTTTTCAAATATGGGGACCCGCATGCGGTGAAGAATGAAACGAGGTAGATGCTTTAACGTGACCCCCTCAGAGGAAGCACCATTGCGAAAATTCGCCAACTGTTGCTAAGACTGCCTCGCTTATGCACATTACTCTGATTGTCGAATCACACCCAGAATTTCACACTGAACGCCAATCATCCGATTTCATGGGCGCGTACCCCATTTTAAGACATCGCAATGGAATCTCAAACCACCATTCGTATGCTACACATGCCACCCTCGTTTTGATTAATTACATGTATCCCTACCTGTCAAGTGCAGCCACCACAGATTTTCGTTGATTTTGTATTAAACCGCAACTTAGATTGCACGTGACCACTACTGAAACACAATGAACTCTGATTAGGCCTAGCCTCTTGTTCGGTATGTGGTCACGGGGATGTTGTTCAAGACATGAAGACTTGGCGTCGAACAGTCCGCACTCAAGCACTGAACCAAGAACAGCGTGCATGATAAAAAAATTCCCGTTCGCGGCGCGGAGATCGACCACGACGAAAACTCGTCAAGCTTACGTAAGGCAGCGCCCTGGCAGCAAAAGTGAATGCTCGTGTCATAAAGTCGTAAAAGGTTTTGAAGGGATCGATGAGGAAGCAAACACAATATCTGTAGCAACCATGATAATGACGATGGTTTTTTCAACGGGGAACCGTTACGCACAGTTGATCGCACATGCAGTCTTGAGCCGCGGGCGGCCGGAGCCGCACTACCGACGCTAATCCGCGTGAACGCCAGTGCAATGTCTCATCCGTAGTTTTATCTGTCGCCGAGGCAGCCGCCCTAGGCGAGCCCGCGCAGCGTGCCACGGGCTTTTTTTCCTTTTCTTTTTCTTCACTCCACCATTCGTTTGTTCACTCCGCATCCCCTCCTCCTCCATAACGAGTTTGTTTCTTGCTTTCCAGCGGCACATCCAGCGCACCTCCTTTCAGGCACGCACTCGCTACCGCGATTGTCACAAAGACTGCCTAGTAACTGCATTGTAACCGGTCTCTCATCTTGGGGGAGTGCACAATAAGTAGTATGCGTATAGTGCATGGAGTTCTATGGAAGGTTGAACGGGAGTCGAAAAAGACCGCATTGTAACCAATTCTGCACTATAAGCAGTTATGTTAACTGTATTTGATGGATTCTAAAAAGGCTCATGGCTGTCTATTTGAGAGGCAGTAAACTCCTCAATGAAGTGATTCTATGATTGCTTTGTAGGCCCCCTCTAATTAAAGGCAGTTTTATTTATCGAGAGCCTGTTATACTGCTACACTGGCAAAGCTTTGCACTTTGAAGTAAAGCTCACTTACTCTGTCGTTCATTGTCTAGCCCTACTCAGTCTTGCATTTTTGGTTTTGGTTTTTTTTTTCACAGGCTCTTTGCGAAAGCATTCGTGAACTTCTTGGCCTACTCGTCGACGAGCCCACACTGAAGGGTTTTGGCTACCCAGACAAACCGGTGGACGAACTGCTCGAAGCAGTCATCCGCCGCTGTGGCCACAGCCCAGCCAGTCCTGATGACTACAACTACATGGACCGACTGCGCGAGAACTCCAAGCTCCTTTTCACAGTGGTCATCGACGACAATGCCGTCAAGACTCTGCTCAATAACCAGACTGTCGACGAGGTCATCCTGCACGTGTTGCGTCTCGCTAAGTCTTAGCTTTCTCCTCCCCCATCTCATTTTGTTGTCTAATTGATAGAGGGTGCACAACAGCAAACAGACTGTTCACTTAACTGTCGTAAACCACTCCACCTCACGTATAACGTGCAGGTGGAGTGGTTTCACTTCTGCATGCTGTCACACAGAAGAAACCATGGTGTGTTAATGCCTTGAAATTGATAATACGGCAGTTGGTGAAGCGCTTTTATATTGGCCCTTGCAACTTGCAGGTCCCGACAATGCGGTTTCACATTTTTTCAAACCCAATTTGTTGTCTTAAGAATTTTTCAAGTTAGAATACAGCTGTCAAAATGATGCACAACAGCATCAGTCCTGCAGGCCACATTCGTTCTAGTCATAAGCACACCTTGAACTGAACGGATGTTTGCTGGCTCAGTAAGTGGCTGAAGTTTTCAAAAGAAAGAACAGAAAAACAATGCTTGAAAACAGGCTTTTATGTAAGTGGGAGCAACATGAAATGCCCATTTGATCATTAAATTATGCGAAAGCAGTCAGCCAGAAATATGACTCATAGCGCACACTACAATGCCGTAAAGGGAGCTTGCTTTTGTGCACCCTTTCTTAACCTGTGCATTGCACACCCCATATTCTTCGTCACTCACGATTTTTAAGACTTTGCACAATGCCTGTGCTTAGTGGGGCCCGAGTAGAGCAGCGTAACGGCTGGGAAATGGGCTAGATTCTGTCTCAAGTCCTGTAGTAGATACTTTTGTGTATTCCGAGGAGGAAATCTGAGTGTCTGACATGGTCGTGGGCTCGCACAGTCCGCCCAACCCTTTTAGCCTATACCGTACAAAAGCTTCATACTGTCCCATTTGTTTTGAAGGTGTTAAATATATTCGGCACATTCCCAAAAATATTTGTATCAGGAGAGGTGGAAAAGTCGTGTGAGCAGGCCACCTCGAATGCGTCTCAATGTTTTCTGTGCACTTTTGGCAGATGAGCGAGAGGTTTTGTTTGGCGCTTTCGGTGTATGTTGAGTATCTGGTGGTGTTGCAACGTTTGTGTCGAGTTAAACTTGAAAACATCGGCTGGTCGCATAACAAAGGGCCCTGTGTGATGGTTTGCTGGCGATGTGGGGAAAATCCGACTTGATAGGAGGCAACATTACGTGCCAGCCAGTGAGACTGAAAAGTTATTTCGAGTAGAACTTGCTTGCTAGATGTCCCCACAGTAGTAGTAGTAAGAAGCCCAAACTTGTGTGCCTTACTGTTATACCCGTAATGTTTGTCTTCTTTTTTTCTTTGCGAGCCTTCTTTTTAGTTAATGCGAGGTAGTGAAAGATGCAAAATGATGTCATTTCATTCTTTTTTCATATCATTTATGCTAGGAGATTGCTCAAGGCAAGGGTTGGGAGAGTAATAATTGCCTTTGGTTTAACAATATCTTCTTTCGAATTAAATAACAAATAAATGGCAAAGGGGTCACAGCAAGTTTAAATAACATTGCTAAAAATCTAATAGGTAAACAACTAATATTACTTGGCTCAGCTGGCCAGAGGTAGTCTTGTTTATAGCTTTGTTTGCTTTTTTGTAGGAAGGCAAGCCTGTTTATTGAGCATTTGGCATCCACTGCTTGCAGCAGCAGATAAGTTAACAATTTAACTATTAATACTGTTCAGAATTTATTAACTTAAGACAGAAGCAACAATAGGTTGCTTGAACATTAATGAGCTTGAGGGGAGAAGTCAGTCATCCATGAATATAGGTTAATGTAAAAATTGCCTCTCTTTGTATGTAATAATATGTGATGCCATTGCTGTATTATCTTGATCTTATGATTGCTGCTGCTGCATGCTTTCATAATCTCTGCATATCATGCAGTATGTTCCGCTTTCATAATTTTATTATTATTTCTCTCTGCCCCAAGTGTAGCAATAGTGTATTAGAATGTGGTAAAAGAACGATGGCGAAGCTTTGTCGGCCTGTGTTTATTGATGGCAAGCAGAATTCAAGGTGAATAAGGTTTTTTAACAGGCATAGTAGATGTGACATATTTACCGTCTAATCACTCAGAAGTGCCTTCTAGTGCTTTGCAGTGCACATTTGCCATAGAGATGAGATTGCTGTTCATTGGAACGATTTGTTGATCCTATTTACGATATAGATATTGATCGCAGCATAAGCAGAAGCAAATTGTAGTTTTTGCTTTCGACCACTTGAGCAAGTGTTTCCATGATCATGTCCTCATTGATAATTTTTATTTGTTTTTAATTTGTCCTATTAATGTTCAATGTTTTATTAGCTTCCACAATGCGGTCAATGACACCTACAATTTGATTGACGTGTTGAATGTGTAGTTAGCTTGCACTTCATTACTTGAATTGATCGTCGTTGCACATTTCATGTGCATTGTGTCGTTCTCGGGCAGCACAAAATGTGAATCGGTATTTTTACATTAAAAAATATAAAAAGTATCGAAGCGAGCTATTGCCCAAGTTTTTGTACAGTTACGACCGAGAAGGCTCGGACTGACATTGTGCATTAGTCTTTCTATAAGAGTATAGCAGTCTGTTTGTTTTTCAATTTCAGTATTTGTTCATTGTTGCCACATGTAGTCTTATGCAAAGCATCGCACTAATGCGCTAACAACTTAATTGGTGCCTTATTTTTTTGTCTGTAGTGCAAGGAGAAGCTTAAGCTCTGGTCCAACTGCAATTTTTCTATGCAATAGAAATTTTAAGATGCACTAACAACCGAATAAAGTCATATAAACTGGTTAATGAGTTTTTTTTTTTTTCATTGAAATGCCAAGTTTTCAACGATGTACATCTCTGCCAACACATGCCGTTAAAGAAGCAGCAAGTCATTTGTCACAGCGTATGGCAGAGTCTGAAATTCATGTACTCTGAGTCACATGTCACCCAATCTGAATGCCCCAGTAAGTGCAGCACCTTATGGATTCGACTGTTACGAACCTGCATAATTGTAGACTAGGCATTTCGCATTTTGATTCGTTGAGACTATTTGAGGGCACAGTTTGCCTGCCCTGTTCAGTCGCTCGAAATTAAGTTCTTCATTTGTATGCAGCTAAGTGTTACTCATTGCACCAACTTAGTTATCATAACTTCTGTGTTTCCCGCTTGATGCCTTAATGATGAAACCAGCAGGTTGCGTGAGTGTGAGGCTTCTTCAAGAAAACTGGTTACTACCTGGTTGCCTTGGGTGGTCGTTTGTTGTCTGTTATTGCGCTCGGCCCGGCCATAAACCGCCAAGTGCCGGCAAAAACTACATTCCGCCATAGCCCCTTCAGTGCCTTTCGCGTGTTTGAGACAGTTGCAGCTTTCTGCCCTAAGCCACCATTGTAACGTATGAATGGATCCGTTGAATGGAGCCCTTGAATGGATCCTAGAACAAGTGCCTTCTGAATTGTTCCATGGGACCCTTTTCCTGCTTGTGCATCTAGCTGTAATCATGTCATAACAAATGAGAGAAATTAATCATCTTGTTTTCATGATTTAAACCTGTACCTTTCTTTGTTATGGGAGAAATTAATCATCTTGTTTTCCTGATTAAAACCCGCACCTTTCTTTCATATATTTCTCTCCTGCTTCTTTGTGAATCCATTCTCCAAGCCCTACAATCAGTTCAGTATTGTGTCCGAAGAGAAATTATGTTATGATGTAAATAGTTTATCAGTAACTCTGTCAAGAAGTCATTGTGTGCCTCATTACTAGATACGCTGGATTTTGTGTGTTTGCCTTAATACAGATTTTCAACCACTAATGCTTGCACGAGCTTCTTGCATTTCATTTTCTTGTTTAGTCCTGTCATTGTGTGGTGCTTCTCACATTGCCTTCTTTTTTTTTTTTTTTCATGGCTTGTACTAGTGTTACATGAATCACAGACAAGAGTATTCTGTATTTTTTTTCTTGCACATCATTCATTCTCTGCTGTGTGGAAATATATATATATATATGAAGAAGAAATTACTGTATGTGTTCTGGTCTAGCCTCTTGGTGTAGCAGACTTATAAAAGGGTGCCAGTATCTCACCTAGAGTTTTGAGTGGCTTTCTGTTGAAGGGCCACTCACCGGGCCCCATAACAAGTTCTAGTTAGACGCTGGCAGCTGTTGTGTTTTCAAAGAAGAGAATTATGCCACGAGAATTTTTTCAATCCGTTGATTACGAGCACAGAAAACCAGTATATTGAAGCTGCGCGAAACCATGATGAGAGGAGGGGAGCTCAAAACCCTTGTCGTTCGCCTCGCGTAGCCTTTGCAAGCCAAATCTCTTCCCTATTCTTTGGTATCTGAGCAAACAGTCGCATGTGCATGACGTCCCCGAGCAAGCCCAACCCCCGAGGATGTAAACGGCGTTGGTTTGTTGACGTGCTGTTACTTTGGGGTCTATTGACTGTTTCTGCTGCATGGGCTCCTTTAAAAACGCTGGCTTAGACGCGGTAGAATAGATGAGCATATTAGGGGCTTGAACGTGTAGGATGATTAATTTCGCTTCCAGCGCTAATGTCTGCTCGATGTGCTAACTGCAGGGACAGAAACCCAGGCACATTCGCCCCGCATCTCGCTGCAATTTACGAGGAAAAAATTAAAGATGTGCGCACGTTCGTTTTGTGTCTTTCAGTATTTATCTGAAGCTTTATTCATCTATTCAAGCAACAAACTACACATGTCGTGTGTAATAATTTTCGGCATGCTACTGTTGGCCCCGTCAGAGCACAGTCGTCTGCGTAGGGCACCTCTAAATGTAAATCATGCCCCCATTCTCTGGTTGCGCGCCCATGAAAAGAAGGGGAGCAGCATTCACCTTAGAATGTTGCCACGTTCCATTTCTCAAGTTTTGTTATCGCCCCAAAACACTACACAATTGTCAGCGCGAAATGCGCGTGCAGTTTTCGAGAAGCTTCCGGACTTTAGTTGATCTTTTTGATAAGATCACGCCCACTCTGCGAACTGCACAGATTATTCTGGAACCTACGCCACGGCCAGCGATAACGCTAGAACATTCGATGGCAAGAGTATAAATGCCGACGCACTTCGCTGCTTGTCAGTAGTTGATCGACGGCCGACGCTCCGTTCACTGCTATCTGTGCAAGACTGCTACTGTAATCGGACTTTCCGTTTGCCGGGCACAGGTTCGCCCAATTAAACAGTTAAATCCCAACATAAAGTATACTGTCTTCGGCCACGTCACGACCCCGTGACATCTGGTGGAGGTGCTGCTTCGTTCATGTACCGGACGCCGCCGTCAAGCCGGGAACCCAGCCCACGTCGCGGAGAAGACACGGACGCCAACCAGGAGCAGCGAACAAGCCGCCGACAGAAAGGGCTACCCCCGGAGTACAGGCTTCTACAAGACAAGGCGCGGAAGACCAAGGCCATGACCGCGACTGCAGCGACAATGACAACCGCAGCGTCCCAGCCCACGATGGTCATACATCAACCCAGGGAACCACCAATTTTCCAAGGGTCATCGTTCCAAGACCCGGAGTCCTGGATAGAAACATACGACCGTGTGGCCGCCCTCAACCACTAGTGCCATGACAAAAAGCTCCGTCGTGTGTTCTTCCATTTGGAAGACACCGCAAGGACCTGGCTTGAAAATCGGGAGTCCATGCTCTGAACCTGGGATGTTTTCTGCAGCGCATTTCTGCAAACGTTCGCGAGCGTCGCTCGCAAAGAGAGGGCCGCTGCTTTATTAGAGATTCGGGTTCAGCTACCAAATGAAAATGTCGCCATTTTCACAGAAAAAATGACCCGACTATTCCATCACGCTGACCCAGACATGCCTGAGGAGAAAAAAGTTCGTTTCCTCATGCGAGGGGTCAAATAGGAGCTCTTCGCGGGACTGATGAGAAATCCATCGAACACCGCCCAAGAATTTGTAGCCGAAGCGACCACTATCGAAAAGACCCTGGACATGCGCACCAGACAGTATAATCGTCGCCTGACTCCAGAATGCGCTGCTGCTCTAGCCAGTAACTCCGAAGACCTGCGTGAAACGATTCGAGCGATCGTGCGGGAAAAGCTACGCAAGCTGCTGCCTTCGGCGCAGCCTCAAGTGGATTTGATCGCCGACATTGTGCGAGAAGAAGTTCGGCAATCGCTTCGAATTCCCCAAGCACCGCTGCCCGAGCAGGAAGCTATGAGCTACGCCGCTGCAGTGCGCCACAACGCTCCTCCCCGTCCACGCCGAAACGCCGCCCCATCGCACTACCATCAACAGATGCCACCGCCGCCTCCACTCCCACCGTGTCATACCGTTCGACCGCGGCCCAGCGCAGTGCACCGAGGAAGGCTGACGTCTGGCGTACCCCTGACCACCGCCCGCTCTGCTACCAGTGCGACGAGGCCGGACACACATACCGCCGTTGCCAGTACCGACAGATGGAACTGCGTAGCTTCGCCGTCAATGCACCGCGTCCACAGCCAGGAGAACGACCGCGTGACATCGCCGACTACCTGACAGGAACTCAGTGGACACCACGAAGCCCTTCGCGTTTGCCGTCACCCAGCCGCGCACGTCACCGCACTATCGGCAATACTCTGGCCCAACGCGGGGCCGGTCTCTTAGCCCGTATCCGGGAAACTAAGGGCCTTGGCAACCGATGGGGGTGCGGTTGCTGTGCGACGAAATACCGAAGATCCTCCGACGACGACGCGACGGAGCTTTCCGAACACAACGCCAACCAAGCAAAGCCCTGACGGCAAAACCTCACTTACCGAAGGTGACCTGACGACGCAACATGAAAGCAGTGGAACAAGCCGACGCAGCCGTGACCCGACGCCACGCTCTAACTGTAATGCGAGACGGCGAACTAGCGACCTCGACGTTCTTATCGACGGCCACAGTGTGACCGCTCTCGTCGATACTGGAGCCGACTACTCCGTCATCAGTGGGTCGTTCGCCGCGAAGTTAAAGAAAGTTAGTACAGCTTGGGAAGGCCCTGAAATCCGCACAGCTGGAGGTCATCTCGTAACGCCTGCAGGAATCTGCACAGCGAGAGTCACCATTAACGGCCGTATTTATCCTGCAGACTTCATAGTGTTACAGCGTTGCTCGAGAGACGTCATCCTTGGCATGGACTTCTTATGCCTCCATGGTGCTGTTATCAACGTAAAAAAAAAGTCGATAACGTTATCCACAGAAGAAGCACTACCGCCGCACACGCCGTCAGGAAACCATGCCTTGAATGTGCTGGAAGTACAAGTCACCACTCCACTCGCTCAAGCGTCATTATTTCAGTCGGCGCTCCTAAATCACCTGACCTGGAAGGCGTCGTTGAAGGCAGTCAGCATCTGTTGGTCACCCGAAATATTTGCGTCACAAGAGGAATTGCAGAGCTGCGGGGACGCAAAGCGACGGTTATGCTCACGAATTTCAGCAATGAGTACAAACTTGTGAGCAAGGAACAACGGTCGCATACATCGAAGAAATTGTCGAAGCCACCAGTGCTTTCGCCCTCGCCGTTTCTGCGGAACCTGCTCAGAGGAACCAAGCCCCTCCCATAGCTTTCGATGTCAATCCCAGACTTCCGAACCGTAAGCAAGAACAGCTCAAGGCCCTGCTCCTGCAATACGAAGATTGCTTTTCGTCGTCATCAAAAATTCGGCAGACCCCAATCACGAAACATCGCATCATAACCGAAGAAAATGCCAGACTACTCCGTCAAAGTTCGTACAGGTTTTCGACGCGAGAACGTGAGGTCATGAAGAGACAAGTTGATGAAATGCTGCGGGATGACTTTATCCAGCCGTCCAAGAGTCTGTTAGTGAAGAAAAAGGATGGGACCCAACGTATTTCTGTCTGAACAGAATCGCCCCAAAACACTATACGATTCTCAGCGGAAAACGCGCGTTCAGTTTTCGAGAAGCTTCCGGACTTTAGTAGATCATTTCGATAAGATCACGCCCACTCTGCGAACTACACATATTATTCTGGAACCTACGTCACCGCCAGCGATAACGCTAGAACATTTGATGGCAAGAGTATAAATGCCGACGCACTTCGCCGCTTGTCAGTAGTGGATCGACGGCCGACGCTCCGTTCACTGCTATCTGTGCAAGACTGGTACTGTAATTGAACTTTCCGTTTGCCGGGCACAGGTTCGCCCAAATAAACAGTTAAATCCCAACATAAAGTCTCCTGTTTTCGGCCACATCACGACCCCGTGACGATATGACCCATTTCAGGGGTGCATAGCGTTGCAAATTTTGGCAGACGTGATCATGAACGCCCCATGTATTGTCAGCTCAAAATCGCTAAACATGCTGAGTGGCCCTTTAAGGGGCACAGGGCTGTAGTGACTGAGAGAAACAAGAGTGAGTCATTCAGGCTATAAATGTAAATATATACAAGCCTGATGTGTTGATCATGCGCTCATATCTGTCTGCTTGATAGAGAAAGCAAAGGCAAGGATTCTAAGCAGGCAAGATTCGAGTCTTCTACCCTGCACTGTGGTAAGAGAAAGGCAATGTAAACTAGAAAGATGCCAGGCCTGCACATAACACACTGCGCATTCTCAGCGTAAGATGGTGAACCGGCCTTCTGAGAGCCCATTGTAGGCTCTCTTATGTTGCCTACTTCAAGTAAAATTTTGAAGTACGTCATATCATTTTGTAGCAGAACACCTACTTGTGGACAGCTACATGTGTGCTGTGCACTTTCATGTTGTGGCTGATGATGATGGTGGATGAATCCATTGAAACTGATGCCATGCTCCACCATACACTCCATCAAAGCACCAAGGATGACAAAGCCATCCTGATTCTCCTGAAGAGCTATTCCGCTGACAATACAAAAGGGCATGGCACCTATCCGCTTGTGTGTCGCTCGTGTTCATGGATTGCAACTTCCCTGCAGAACTCCCAAAAAATCTTTAAGCATTGATGGCTCTGTGTTAGAACACTTGCTGCCACACAGAATCCTTGTGTTTGGTTCTGGCTTGAGCACTCCATTTTTTATGCATTGTGTGTGACAGCTGCGCCATACTCCTGCAGTAACAGCAGACGTAGCCACCAGAATTGGCTG